GTCCCCATGGGCCAAGAAAAGGAAAGGTTTCTGAGGAGAGGGGGATGCCTGGTACTACAGCAACTGATCTGGTTTGAAAACCAGATTGTTTTTCAGACATACAAGCACCTGAAGCAGCTGAAAGCCAAATTTTATACCTAATAGCTTTGATGTTTGAGGAATTGATACTGTTTTTTAAGTCCTGAATTTTTTCTTTGAAAAAAGCTGAGACTATCAGAACTTATAAATTACTGTTCTTTATTTTGTGGAACAGGTTCCACAAGCAAAAGAGCAGGAAGGAGTGGAAAAAAGTTATAGATTGAATGAAAATTATTGGTAGAATGAATCTAATTCTCCAGTTCATGACTTTCCATTTGTGAGCTCAGTTCACTCCTCTGAAGTATTTGGTTTTTTCTGTTTCTAGAACCATATCTGATGTGTGTTTCAGTAGAGGATGGCCTCCCAATGGTTGCAGTTATGCTCACTGTGCTTTTTTTGTGTGATAACTTACAGTTTTTTAAACTGCTATCCTGAGCAGAAAAGAAAAATGCTGGTTGAGAAGGAGCCTTTTCCATCAGAATTTGGGAATGCTTGGATTTGCAGCATAAACCTGTTGAAGCAGAGCCAGATAATTCTACTGTAATGCATTTATTTGTGCTTGCATTCCTGTGCTTGATTTTGGCAAACAAATGGTGGGCAACCAGGCATTTTTGTGGAGTCATCTGTGAAGAGACCTCTGCATGGCTTAGGAAAGGAGTTACCCTGGGCATGAGCCCTTTTGATGTACCCTGGCTGCTTATTTGTCAGCAATCCTCAGTGCTCAAGCTGTTGCTACCTTCAGCCACAATAATTAGTCTCTGTTCTGGATGTGTTGTTAAACTGAAGTGTTTTATGGAAATTAAAACTGCTCCTAGAATACTTCTGGTATGTGGTTGTGTCATGGGCTTTTCTTTCTGGCCCCTCAGATCTTTTCACTACCTGAGTTTTCAAAATTGAATTCAAAAGCACACTATGGTTTCAGCCTTTAATTCTAGAAGGCTGGGTGATCATTCAGTTCAGAGTATTTTATCCTCTTGAAGCAAGATTAGTCTTCAATTTCATTTTTCTCATTTCCATTTAGGTCAAATCATTCTGGCAAAGCACAAGTCTGTCCTCAAATCCTGATGTGTCAGGAAAATACAAAGAGCTCCAAGTTCTCACCCTGGCTTTCTCCTGAGCTCACACAGGCTGACCTTGCTTTGTTCAGCTGGCAATATTTTTTACATTGCTGGTTTTTTGGCAACCCTCCAGTGTTAGATATTTTACAAATGAATTGGTCACATCTATATTAGCAAGGGTCAGAGTGAATGACTAAACTTGAGTGAAGTGCACAAGATTATTTTCCTCCTACTGCAGGAAGAAATGAAAAAAAAAAAAAAAAGTTTTTCCCTCAGATTTTGAAATAACTAATTACCAGTGAAAACATTTTCCTGTATTTTAATATTTAATGGTACTACACTTAATTATACTGCAGAATTGAAGTGCACGTTCTGTTCCCTACTCTTTGGTTTTATGAATAATTCTCTCAGAGTTGCTTGAACTTGCTAATTTTTTGAGAAGAAATATAAAAATTGTCATTTAAATCATCAGTTTATAGTACATACAAAAAAGTCCAGCCTTCTGTAGAAGACAAACACAAATGCTTGACTTCATTTACTGTGTCCTGTCCCTTCTGGCTCAATGCATAAAGCTGAGCACATGCTCTTAGTCTCTGTGGTACCACTGTCTGGAGTAATGAACCAAAGAGGATTGATGTATGCTCTGGTAAATGAAATTTTACAGTAAAATGCCAATCTGGCATTGAAGTCCAGCCAGTGCTTTAAGGACTAAATGCACTAAAGGCTCCATTAAAGATGAGAGGAAATTACTGGCAGTTGTTCTAGAACTGACTGCAGGAATTGGGAGGGAACCAACACGTACTTGACCATCAAGCCTGAATGTTGTCTTTGTGGACTTGAGTCCTTTCTCTAGATGTTTGGAAATACTAATCAGCCAGGAATGAGGATTTGGTGTTTTGTCAGAGCACTGGCCACGGCTCAGGTTACACCTTTAAAGAGGGATACCCCAGAGGCTCAGCAAGCAGTGAAGACACCAAATCCCCAAGCTGGTGGTGCCCAAGTCCATCAAACAGCTTTTGTTAATCAAGTGCATGTTTGCCGGATGTTGAAGAGCACAGCCCTGGTTTCATTCTTTGGAATAAATCCATAAAACGACCACATGCACTCCTTTGGTTGTTCCCCATAGCTTTTGTAATAACACAGTTCCTCTTAGAATGACTCTTGCTCCTCAAGTTCAACATTGATTGCACCCCCTGTAGTATAATTTTAGCTGATTAAAATTGCCTAGCAAAGACACCTTGGAGGCATTTGAACCTGTAGAATTAGCTAAGAATGTAAATAATGTTCTGGCATCATCTTCTGTTTGTTATGCATGTGATGACAATTTTCTTTAAACATTGAGGGTCTCTGGAATTCACCTTTTCTTTGCCTTACTGGCCTCCTTGGGCCTGTATGTTACAAAATATGTCCCCTAAGCAAACTAGTAATTACAGAAACTGCAGTAATAATATTTGGCATTTATGGAAAGAGGTGGTACAGAGAATAAAGCCTTCTATAGAAATAAAATTTGATATTTCCATTAAAAATACATTTTTATATTTATTTATTTTATTTTCTTATTATTTTATATTTATTATTTATGTTTATGTTTTATTTTTATATATTTTATACGAATAGTTACACAGACTGAGGAAAGGCTCTTTAAAAATCTTTAAATCCTGTTGTAGCACGATCAGGAACAGATGTTCATTGTGTTTTTCATTTTTCATCACTTGCAAACATTTGGAAATACTTAATTTTGCACCTGGGATGAAGATGCATCTTCTCTTAAATTCAGTGTAATACTGAAAGACCTTTAAACTTTCAAAAATAGACGTAACAGCAATAGTAACAGCACCAGCATGGAGCATTTGTTTTACTCTTTTCAAGCAATGTGCAAAGGAATGTTTTCCCTAATTCAGTTTGAGTACGATGTCTTCTGACTGGATTTCACAGAAGCATCTGCTGACCCAGAGCATTTCTTGGGCTTTTTTGCTGTTGAGCAGTAAGTGTTAATTCATGTAGAAATCTGTGAAATATGAAGCAGAAGCAGTCCAGTTCATGTCCAGTCCAGCTGGAAATGCCAGCCTAATAGGTCATGGTTTTTACTTGGCAGTATTGAAAGGCAAGATGTTTATATTTGGATGACCTGAAGACTTTAATAATTTTTCATATTGTATTTCATATCCCTGAGGTCTAAGGAAGAATGCATATCAGTGTGTTAGCAACACTGTGTTCACAGTGTAAATTTCCATTCATGGCAAACTGAACAGAAAACACTGGAATATACTGAATATTTGCCATCTCTGAGGGCTACGATCCTATTTTTTCTCACACATTTCTTTCAGATTTTTCTATTCTTTTTTACTTGTGTGTTTTGCTTGCTGCACACATTTTAGCAGATGCACAGGCAAAAAAAAAAAAAAAAAAGTGATAACCCCTATTTTGTTGTATTTTGAAAGGTTTTTCTTAGTGAGGAGAAAGGGATATTCTAGATGCTACTTCTGTTGATACAAACTGAAGGTCAGAGGTTGTTGACCAGAGAGCTGTGATGGGACTGGAACAGACAGATGAGGGCACAGCAGTTGTCATCATGCTCCACAGAAAGGCCTTTGGGATGCTGCCCTGCTCCAGTCTCTCTTTTGGGGTGCTGGCAGACTGCAGGGAATTGAAGCTGGCAGCGTGTTCTCTCCTGGCTCAACAGTCAGGTGATGAACACAGCCAAATTCTTCTCCCATTTACAGTGACACAACAGGTCTGTTGGTCCTGGTGGGGAGGGAGCTGTTGATCTGCAGTGCAGTGTCTCACATCCTTCTCTCCTGTCAAGTCTGTTTAGAAGTTGATGGAGTCAGCAGTCTGTGGGGTGATAGTGAACCTCTGGCAGAAGGCCTGTGCAAGATGTATAACTTGCATCATAGGAGATGCCCTTGAAAGATGGTTCATGTACAAACTCAGTGGAGAGTAAGTTCTGCAACAGCCTATGGAGAGTAAATTTTAAAAAGAAGCATACATCAAGAGCATAAAACTTATGTATTTTGAGAATAGTGGGAGGAGCAAATGGGTGTCTGTCTCAGTTTTTATTAATAGTGCCTTACATGGTATAGGAACTACATTCATAGATTTCAGATCTACAAGAGCTTGGCTTGACCATCTAGTGTGCACAGCACAGGCTGAAAATGCAGAGTCTGCATTACTGCTTCTGTATCTGCCTCATGACTTCCTTTTGAGGTAACATATCCTTTTTAGAAAAATTTGCTCTACTTTGATCTAAAGCCTGTGTAATAGACTAATTAGAAAGCTGTTCTGTTCTTGTGATGTACTGCCACTAGTGCTGTTCATTAGAGATGTTTGATCCAGAATAGCTTTTACTCCAGTGGGAGAGAGAACAACCCAGTAGATGTTATTTTTGGAACCTGCTTTCCAAGATAGTTTGCTAAAACCCAGATTTTACAAGTGCTCTGACACACTAAAATCTTTCTTTGGGTCCAGTATGTTAGTTGAATAAGCAGCCTGAGACTTGGATCAATTTGCCTAATGTGCCTTATGGAGCAAGACTCTTTAGTGTTGCTTCCTCGTGAGTTTTTATGAAGGCAGAAGCTGTAGTCTGTAGTTTAGCTCAGCTCAGAACCCATTAGAACTAGAACATTAGTTCAGACCCTTTTGGCTTTTATAGGTGACAGTAGTAAATGAGTAATGTACAGCCCTTTCTTTGCTGCTGCACATGGCTCACTTAGCATGTCGAGTTTGTTGCCGTAGCTCGTTCTTTCACATTTTTGCCAAGTGCATACAACCTTCAAACAAACTTTGAATGTGAGCTTGCAAGACGTCCTTTGTTTCCTCCTCCCCCAATAACTGGCAGCACACTCTCTTTTTCTCTCTGCCAAGGGACATACTGCCAGCAGAGAGAAGTGGAAGCTATAACAGAAGGAGATGAGGACAACGAAGGCTGCTGCTGCTGCAAGCCTGGGCACTTGCCTCACCTGCTGTCCTGTAATGCAGCCTTTAACCTGCGCTGGCTGACGTGGGAGATCACACGAACCCAGTACATCCTGGAAGGATACAGCATCATCGACAACAACGCTGCCACAATGCTGCAAGTGTTCGATCTGCGCAGAATCCTTATCAGATACTATATCAAGGTAACCTCTTTGGGTGTAGTGCACTTTGTTCCTAGGCAGGTTTGTCAGATAGAATGCTGTTTGTCTATAGAAGAAAGAGCATTTGAAGTCTTTTGCTTTATGTTTATCCATCTGCACCACAGTCTGGCAGTCAGACTGACTTGATGTTAGATCATAGAACTGTAGAATCATTTGGTTTGATCTTAAAATCATCCAGTTCCAACCCTCCTCCTATGGCAGAGACACCTTCCACTGGGATAGGGAAAATTAATTAATGTTTCCCTTTGCTAAATTTAATTGTGATCACTTATACTTACAGTTAGTACACAAAATGGCAGGCAAGCTTCAGTGGAGATCAAGAAGGTGAGTTACCATCCTGTGGTGATAAAGTCAGACAAAGCCTTCTTACTTATGTTCTTACGTTCTTACAACACATCACTAACAGTTTGGTATTTCTTCTTGCCTTGGCCTTTCCACTGTTTCTCTCTTTTTTTTCTGGAAAAGAAAAGGAAGATATTAACAAGCATAAGGTTCTTGGGAAACTTCTGAAGAGCTGTTTCTTGAATGTACCTTTTAGTAGTGCAAACCCCCTTCTTACCTTCTCTTTTACATATATAACGCAACAGATTTGAAGTTGGTTTATTCCATTGATTGATTACACAGTAGTTCATTTACACCATTTCTATATTTGCATTGCTATTAAAATCACAATAACCACACAGATACGAATTTGTCAAAATAATTGAACCGTATAGTCTAGCAAGACACCTTCATCCTCTGCCAGAACAATTCACAGTCCAGCAAATGAAGAATTTGTTGAGCTTTATAGTCTTCTAGTGAAACAGCAAGAGCCAAGTGCTGCTTTCTATGCCACTGGTACTGCCATGAAGCCAGTTGCTAAAGAGCCAAACCATCCCTGACATCTTTCTACTTACATCTCTGCAATTGTAAAATCTGTCAACTTCAGAGAGAGACCTGTTGTAAATAAGTTAATCACCATTTTTTGCAAATGAACCAATGTAGTAAAAACAAGCTCATTGCCTTACAAAGCTGCTTTGATCATGTAGTTGATTACTTCTGGGATTTCATAAATAATTTTGCAGGCAGTAGTGCCTGGTAACCAACCTGCTTTGTTTAATCAACTAATTAGAAATAAAGCTGCATGTGAGCATGATTTTTTCATTTTAGAAGTGGGGTTTGTGGCTATAAATTGTTTTAAAGCAATGTAACTAAGCTAAAAAAAACCACAAACCAAAACAAAAAAATAGCTCTTCTTTAATGAGTGTGTTGCTACAATTGTTTTGCTTTACTTTAAAAGGTAACCTGAATAACTGGAACATAAACTAATGTAGGCTGGCAAATGACTCAGCTTTTGAGGGGGAATGAGACTGAAAAAATCCCAGTCTAAGCTGAAATCAAATCAGCATCTTATTAGTTTAAAGCAGTGAAGAATTTTGCTTTATGAACTGGAACTGTTTTTGTGCCTTAAAATGAATTAATATTTGGAGGACTTGCTGGAAGTGTGAGGTTCACCACATGGGATGTGAAACTGAGCTGAAAGGCAGTTTAGAGCTTCTGATTCTGGACACACCTGAGAAGCAGCTGACGTAGATGGCTTAGACAAACTTTCATCCCATGTGATACAGGTGTGGTTGCTTAGTTGATCCTGATTTGAGTAGGAGGGAGTGGGTTAAATGCTGTGGCCCCATCTCCACTCTGTGCAGAGTTCATGTGTGCTACTGATGGCTCTGAAAACATGAAAATCAAATCTCTTCTTCTTGGATTTAGTTGAGCAGGAATTATTGTAGTGCACTCACAGAGTTTCATTCTCAGGAAGGTTGCTCTTCATTCTCAGCCTGTTGATCTGTGTAATCTACTTCTCTTTTTAGGGAAGGGTGAACAGAAGTTAATAATAACCTGTTGGCATCTTCAATATTAGCCTGGGCTCCCTTTAGTGAAGGAAGGGTGCACTCAGGAAATCCCTTTTCTAGAATGTCACTTCTCAAAGTTATCTGGATATTTTCTCCTTGTATTTTTAAAGTAATTAGTTTTTTTCCATAAACAGGGGCTTTAAAAAGATTTGGTAAAATCTTTAGTACAGCCTTGGAAGGAGAAGATTATAATATGTATTAGGTCAGCTTTTTTCCTGTTTATTTAATGCTTTCCTCTAAGTAAACAGTATCAGAGACAGAGGTGAGAATTCATTCCTTCCCCAGCTCTTTCTTCTGGGGGAATCTCGATCAAGACCCTGTACAGTTTCACCGTGAACATTTTAAAAGTCCTTGACACTTTCTTTTTAACGGTGTGAAAGTAATTGTAAGAACTATAGATAAGGCAGTATTCAGGTCACATAAAACACCAACTCAAAAAACACTTAGGCTGGAGTTTCTGCAGGAACTGCACTTCCATTGCATTGAGCATTTGGAGTGTTTTTGGTTTTTTCTCCAATGTTGTAAATATTTACCATATTGTTTCAGAAATGCCATATAGCTGAGGATGTACTTTTGCACAAAACATATCTTGTAAGAGTTACCAAGAGCAGAATTTAATTAGGTGACAGAAGATTTTGTTCTTTCTCTGTCTGATTGCCAGTCTGATTTTTTTCCCAGCTGAATCAGTTTCTTTGTAAACACAGATGAGGATAATAGAAAAAGCAAACTCTATCTCAAAAATCAACAAAGAAAATGTTTGCTTTGTTTTAGGTCTTCTATCCTTCAATAATAATTATTGTATTGCTCTTTTAAACAAAGAGTGGCACTGAGCATCTTATTCTGAAATCATATTTATTTCATTTGCAGTTTCATTGACAGCCTAGAAAGGCATAAATTTCTTATTATGAAAGGATTTTTATTCCCCACAAATAAAGTGGGTCAGCTCCTGTAGCCCTTCTGCATATACTTTGAAATCATTTTCTGCCCAACTACTGTGATTTTTTTCCCTTGTGCCTTTTCCAGCTCTTCTCAATATATTCTTAATTAAACATCTTCTAGCATTCAAAAATTCTGTGTATTCGCTGAGTGCTGTGTTTTCAGCTCCTATTGTTTCTGCATGAATCCTTTTTAAGGAGTGTATTGTTCTCCTCATGCCATTAAATGAAGGTCCATCCTGTCTCTAGCTGTCTGACTAGTCTTTTTCCTCTGAAGCTCAATTCTCCTCTTACTTTTTGTAATTATTTTGTACGATTTGGAAGAAGAACTGTGGAGGGATCTGGGGTTTTTAAATTGCTGGTAGCACTTCCATCCTTTGTAATCCATCATATTTTAATTTTATACATTTATTTACGTAGTACTATATCCATTGACTAGGTCACGTGGAACTACATCATCTTCAGTCATGAATCATACTTGCTTCTCATTTGCTTTGGAATCCTACTCTAAATTAATATTATAAAGCATTATAATGGGGCTTTCCTGCTGATGGAACACACTGGAACTTCTTGAGTTTCATATTCTTTTGAAAATATGCTCTAAGTTGTGTTTGGATAGAAATTTTTAATTACTTTTTTATTTATTATTATTTTAATGTGTCCAGACAAAACGGTTAGAAAAGCTTAGAAACTCAGGCAGAGATATGAGATACGTGTGTTGCTGCTTTCTAGCTTTTATGTACTTGGTAAAAGAGCCGCAGTTGAATGCTGCTCCCTCCTCAGTGCTTTAAAAGTTACTCAGTTATATCAGTTATCAGCTTTTTAACCTGACACGTAAGAAAAAATCTGTTATTCTTTACCTGCTGCATTGACAAATAATGGATTTGTGTCATACACATCCGTCAGGTCTCATCTTTGTGGCTAATAAAAATTAGGAAAGCATCATCCCAAGAAAACAGTAAGTCCACTGAGGAAAAAAGAGCCCTGTTTTGAGGATGTGACCATCTACTACTGTTTTTTCAAAATATGCCTAAGCTGTTATTGGTATTACCTTTTTGGTGATAGACTCTATAGAACCCTCTAGTACTGACATGTTTGAGTGCTGGAACTCTCTATTCCTATCATTGTGTTGATTTTCCTGGAAGGCAGAAGGATATTAAAAATACTACTTCTTTTTCTGTTGTTAGCTACCATTATCAATTATTATCATCTTTCTAATTTGAACACTTCTGTGAAATAATAATGATGCTAAGGAGTAAAATGTAAGAAACAGATACACTACTACAGTTCTTAATGGGGTCCTATTTGGCTTGTTCTCTTCTGTGTAAAAATATGTCTGCTTTGATCAGAGTTCAGAGTGACTAACGTTTGCACTTTTTGTCAACAGAGTATAATATACTTTACAGCAAGTTCTCCCAAAATCCTTGACTGGATAAAAGATGAATCCATCCAAAAGATACTGCAGCCTTATGCAAAGTGGCATTATATTGAACGTGACCTTGCGATGTTTAACGTTAACATAGATGAAGATTATGTTCCGTGTCTCCAAGGAATAACAAGAGCTAGCTTCTGCAGTGTTTATCTGGACTGGATTCAGTTCTGTGCCAGGAAAAGGGTGGAGGTATGAGTCTTCTTTTTTTTTTTTAATAGTGGTATTAGTTTTAATTCCTGGGATATGAGTGAAATGGTGCATGGCTACTCTTTTACTTGCTCAGGATTAGTAGAACAAAATTTATTTCATAAAAGCTTTCAGCTTTAACATAAAAGGAAAACATGTTCTGTGGAATGGAAAAAACATATTTTGGAAGCTACCCATGTGCAAAAACTGGGATCTTAAGGAGCATTAGTCTTTGAATACAGAACCAATTCTTTACTGTGCAAATTTCCAACAACATTAACTTTGTCAGCTCTAGAAAGCACGGATATATCAAGTGCTCACAGAAGTACTGCTAGAGAAAGTTCCAATCAGAGAAAGTCATCACAGCATTACAGTTCCTTCAGTGTTGCTAGTTATTGGTACCTTTGCCAGATGTCTGTGATGTCTGTGTATCCTTTTCAGACATTTGCTTGTATTTGTGTAGAGCTGCAGGATGGTAGGGGAGTGCATGGTGCACTTCCTGCTGGCACAGGTCACCTCTGAGAGCTCGTGACTAAACGTGAACCACACCACAGAATCATGTGAAATCAGTTGCAGCTCTAGAAGGTCAAGGGCAGATGTGCAGCTGTGCACTTGAATGCTCTGAGCCTCTAAGATTACTGATGGTCAGGAGTTGTTTGTCAGAAATGCACTTCTTCCATTACATTTCCAGGGAATACTCAAAATAGCCCAGAGGGAGAGTACAGTTTGAAACAAGCATATTGCCTCGATCTAATTTTCTGATTATTGCTGATAGTGGCAAAAGTGGAGAAGTGTCTCTTTCCTGGCCATGATGTGCTGTATTTGTGCATTTTCCCACTCAGGATCACAGACTGCACATCCCATTACTGACCTTAGTTGGTGTAACATCACTGAATCTTTCTTGAAACATCACCGAATGTTTCTGCTCCGCTTTTGTTCCTTCTCATGTCTCTAATGCTGAGTACCATTCCATCAGTTCCCCTGTGTATCATTATATTGATATTGTTTTCATTTAATTGTCTTCTGAGCCCTTTCCCACCATCCCACCATCTCCTCCTACTGGGAATACTTCACTTCTTTTCTTTCTCATCTCCATGTCTCAGCTCCCAAGTTCTGACACACAAAGAATTGCGGGGTGTGGAGAAAGCCACTGTTAATTGATGCCTTTCCACTTGTTCTCTAGATTTTCAAATTCAATAATAGATTTAGGGATGCCAATAGACTTGAAACATGTAAGTTAGATTTCAAAAGGCAAATTAATGCCTGCACTGGTGCCACACACACATTTATCTTTTTGTTACATATTTTACCTTTGTTTTTTAGTTCACTGACTATAGAAAAGCAAAGTTCATGTAGGAGGTGGGATAAAAAAACCAAAGTTCACTGTACACGTAGCCCAGAAAATCATTATATTTTACAGAAGGAGCTACATTCTCCATTATAATTGGCTTCAGTTTTAGACTCAAAGAAAGCTCTAAGAAATCACTCATTGCGTGGACTGAAATAATAATCTGTATCCTTCTGAAGAATAACTTGCATGAGGAGTTGTTCCAGTTTTTTCCTCCTGCTTGGTAGCAAAGTTTTCTTTGTGAAAATTTCATTAAAAAACCTCTCCTGAGCTAGTAAACATAAATGAGATGTTCTGACTGCTTATTAAAATGGGCTGTCAGTGTCATCAACCATTTAGCCAGATATTGTTATTCACTGAAAATGTGTGCCTCCAAACTTTTCCAAAGAGATTGTACTTCTAGAATCTGTGGTAAGGTTTCATGGGAACTGTGTTCCATGGAAAAGGGTTTTGGCTGTCTCCAATTGCAGTGTCTCCCAACAATAAGGAACCGCCTCCAGTTTAGAATGTGAGATCTGGGAGGAGTGGAAGCAAACTTAAACCCCACATATAAAAGACCACCACCACCAAAGCTCCCTTCCCTTGGGATCTCACTACCAGAGAATGAAATGTTCTGTTTCTAGCCAGTGGGCAAAGCAAGCTTGCGTTTTGCAAAAATCCTCTGATGGTGATGGTCTTCCTTCTTGGTCTGTTTAATGGCAAAGAATGTTTTGGTGTGTAGGTCCAGCTACACGCAAATGTTATGAATGTCACCATTTCTAGCATTGTGGTGCTTTTAAATGTGATGTTTTCACGTATTGTAACATCTTCATCTTAAAACTTTGTAGCACCTGGACAGTGATGAGGATTCTCCTCTAGTGACGCTTTCCTTTGCCTTGTGTATACTGGGTCGGAGAGCTTTGGGAACTGCATCTCACAATATGGCCATCAGGTAATCTTTAGGAATCCTTTCTCCTCATGTTAAAATAAAGACCTGTTTGTCTTTTTCCACATGACGTAGGTTCTCAAGAGCAGATTAGATCAAGGTGAAGTCTCATTCCTCCATAAAATGTTGGGGTTTTTTTTGTCATTCCTGGTCATCTTTTTCTTTTTGGATGGCTAAATAACTAATTAACAGTCCTTATTTTATAGGGCAAAGTAGAATTTTTGAATCAAAGAATGGGTACCAATGGTTATTGTTTGTGTTCACTCATGCCTGGCTGTTGGAATGCTGTCCTTCCTCTGGCATTCCAGTAGGAGGAAGAAATCTCCAGAAGAGGAAGAAACTGCTGTCATCTGAGTTGTAGTTAACTAAATAATAATAAATGTATAAAGGGTTCTCCTCTGTACTCCTCAGGGGTGTATTCCTGTTCATTGTGCCACTTCATTCTGACAACTAAGGAAGGGAGAACCTCTGATCTCCTGAGGCTGCAGCTTTGTCTATTCTCAGAGCATCTACCTTGCTCATTTGTTCATTAATTCAAAACACTTCTTCCTAGGAAGTCTGGTTAATTTAAATATGCTTCATTGAGATTGTTTCTAAATGTGCTCTTCATCTTATATTTTCATTAGGGATTCTTCCATTTTCACTGGGAGTTCTGAATTGTTTGGGTATTACACAGTTTAATTTACACTGTGCTATAGATGAAGCATTTTATTAATGAAATAATGATTATTTTAATGGAGTTTAACTTCCCATATAATTTTAGGTTTTTATTAGATTTATTTAAACTCTCTGTGTGCACGGGAGTTTAATAACAATGGAGAAGCTGAATAAATACAGTGTCTGAGTGACCTTGCCATGTTGGCACAGAATGGTGAACAAAACTACCTAGACCTCTGTCAACATGCTCCTTAGAGAGGATTCGTCTTACTAACAAGCAAACAAGGACAGCATGTGTGATTTTGAATGCATTTTGTTATAGAACAGTCCTTTTAAATATTCATCCTAGCTTTGTTATCTGTTGAGCCATTTATAACATTTTGTTTTATGTCTTCCATGCAAAATGTTTGTGGTTCACATGGCTTATTTCTTGTTGTGCTGCTGATTTCTGCTTTCTAAAGGGACTTCTGTCATCTCTTTTTTACTGGTCTTTGCACATTCCCTTCCTGTAGTAGTTTTCTTTGCTGCATTTCTTCTCCATTTCTGTTCACTCAAATTAGAGTGATGTTAGGTAAGTCATTGGTATTTTTAAATTGTCCTATTTTTTTTGTGATCCAAATTTTAGAGTTCGGGGGCATGATGTGAAAGTTTATATGTATTTATGATATTTGTTTGAGAAAAGATTAAAGTGAATTTTGATCTGGGCCTGCAACAGATGGGTCACAGCGATATTAGGAATTCATCTAAAAATAACACAAAAGCTTCCTAAAACTGTCACCACATTGCATGCACTTTCCACTGGATCTTAAAATCTTCATTACAATGCTTTGGCTCTGATACAGATACAATAACAATGTCCCCTATTTGTATTGGCTTACATGGTTAGTAGCTAGTGCAAAGGGACAATATTATCTGAGACTTTCCAAAACTTAACATGGAAAGTATGAATGTTGAGGATAATTATTTGTATAGTGTGCTATAAAGACCTTAATAATAATTTCAGGAGTCAGCTAAACCACGTCTTTTCAAAATCTGACAAATACCAATGAACTGAATTACTTCCTCTCTTTTGATAAGTGGACACTCCATATTTAAAAATACTTTTCTTGGGGAGGGAAGGTCTGCAGAAAGGCAAAATCTGGGGTAGTCATCTGAGGTGCACAGCTCTGACACTTTTTTTTTTAATCTGCTCTATATAATCTTCAATTATAAGTCCTGGTTTTCTTTTTATTAAGCAAGTGTTCTAGGGCAGTATCAAATCTTTGTATTTTAAAAATGTATTTTGTGACATAAAAGGCACTAAGTGGAAGCTTCTCTCGGTATCTTTTCCAATGCTACTTCACAAAAGCTTTCCCTGGAAAAGTTTCACTGTGGAAAAACTGTGTCACTTCCCCACCTGGTTAAATTACTTTTAATGCATTTCCACTGTCAGAAGGATCTGGAGAAATAGAAAAAGAGTAGCACAGTTGAAGTTATAACCTGCTGCAGCTACAAAACATGACTTTATCTTGGTAAATTACATTTCTTCTTGTCTTTCAGAATGTGTATATCTTAACTGACAAAACCAATTTAATAGAAATTATTAACTGAGGAGCAAGGTGGATACCCTACCCTCCTGACATCAAGACATTTATCAACAGAAATCCCCCAAATATTTTCACTTGAGCATTAAGGGCAGGTCTCACCCTACTTACAGTGTTTATTGCTTCCAACAGATCTGCACAACTTGTTTAAACACAAGTGAGCAGTCAGTCAGTGAGACTCCAATGGGAATACAATTGTACAGCATGCCAGGGGAAGGAGACTTTGTCCAATGTGTGCAATGCTGATGAGGCCAGAAGGGGATGCTCACAAGAATTGTCTCCAGGCACTCCTCTATCTGTCTTTGGCAGAGCACAGCAGATCTCACCGAGGGCGATCTTGAGTGTTTCTGCTGGTCCTTGCCCCCAGCTCTCAGTCTGCTGCAGGTCTGCATTCAGTCAGATGGAGGAGAGGTACTTAAGATGCTCAGAAGTCAGAGGAACATTTCCTTGAATGATGCTTCACACCCTTTCTTTGAAAAGGTGCCATGATATTCTGGGGACCTTTTGGAGCCTACTAATGTTGAAGAGGGTTTTAGTTTCCTCAGGAATGGTCAGAGCAGGCAGTCTCACAGCCAGATGTGTGCATGAGAGGGGGATGTACCACATGTATGGGGTTGGAACTAGATGATCTTTAAGGCCCCTTCCAACCCAGGCTATTCCATGACTCTGGCTGTTGGGGTGTGGATCATTTTGTTAGAGGTCAGGGCTCCTAACATGTTTTTTCATGCTCAAATGCTGGATTACAAAAGTACAGATTTAGATTACTCTGGTAAGCACTGAGAATTTACCTTGAACATCATCTCAGGACTTTCTATTAATTCTTTCTGGGGAGCATCTTGTCTACAACATTGCTAGAGATTTTGGGATGAGTATGAGATGTAAGGGCCAGGTAGGTATTGAAGTCTTCTGTGTATGAAGAATTTCACATGTTCAGTGGAAGCAAACCAGCCAAGAATCTGCTGTGCTCTGCAGTTCATGTTTCGTTTTCAGAGATGACTGTGCAGATAGTGGGAAACTTTCTCTGGATTGAGTCTAGTCCTTGCTGTGTCTTGGAGGAGTGACAGTCATCCAGCTGCTGCACAGTGGAGCAAAGGTAATGCTACCGTGGGCTGTGCACTGCAGAGTTGAGAGTCAAGTTTACATTGTGTATGCAAACTATCAATTTGCACTCATTTACACATGATTTTGTCTAATCTATTAATCAGCGAATGTCACTGTGTAAACCAAGATTTTAAATGCTCTTATAATAATGTATGTAAATAATTATTCATTGTACCTTGTTCATGTAAATGTCAGTAGAAACCTAACATTAATACTAGATTACACAATAAATGAATTCATTAAGGAGGCAGAACATTGCAATGCAAATCATTTGCTCTTTTAAACTGTCATTAGGAGGCATCCTGCACAAAATGTAATTTGAAGAATGACATGACATTACCATTCATTTATTCAAATGTGAGTGATATGTTTAGTTGTGTATTTGTTGGAAAAAAATACAGAATAATTCTATTCAGCCACTAAAGCTACTAGTAAAGAAATATTTAGTAAAAAAATTCAAAATTGGAAAAATACAAAAATCTCTTGATAAAGCATCTCTCATCAGATACTTCCAACACTACCAAGCTTGGCTGCTCAGGTTCCCCAAGCTCAGTTTGAACAAAGGGTTGTTTCAAGGAATGTCTCTGCATGGAGGAGCTGCTGCTCACCCTGAAACCCAGGGAAGAAGCTGGCCCCACTTGTCCCTTCCCACCTGGTGACCCCACTGCACTGCCCAGCGTCTGAGGGAAGGGGAAGTCATAGAGGGCACGGGCCGTGGCACCACAGGGCTCCTGCTGGTGGGAGTTCAGGCGAACAGTGCAGCTTGATGTCTGCCAGAGCTGAGCAGGGCAGAAAAGTTAGACTCAGCTCACAACCACTGTCATCTAAAATATCCAATTAGAAGGGCTACCACTGAACATACTTCAGGTGAACTATGACATTCAGGTCATTACTAGCTCACAGACATGCCTGTTCCTTTATTCCTTAAATAAACCTACAGTTAACATTGGAGAAGGTCTGCAAATGCAAAATACACAAAGAGAGGTTCACCAGCTCATTATTCTGCATCCATACTGTTTTCAGGCTGGCACTAAATGCTTTTAGTTTCAGCTCTTGGAGCAGCATAAGGAGTGCAGTAGGAGGGAGTATTTGCTTTGGCACTGTTGCCCTCCCTCTGGTGTTTGTGGCACTACTTAATCCCCTCTTTTCTGCACCTTCAAGGGGCTGATGGTTCCCATGGACCTACCAGTCTTGTTCTAAAGTAGCTTGCAGTTGTGAGAGCAGCTCTTCAGGTTGCTAGCTCAGAGGATTTGAAATGTTGCCAGATACAGTAGTTATGTCTCTTACAGATTAATGTTGTTCCTTTGACATGTAATTTTACCTTAACTTGTTTTTTTAAATATTTTGAACCAGCCTGTAACTACAGCAGATTACTAATTGAGGTATGTTAAAAGTGGGCCAAGAAAGCAGCAACAACCTTGAGTGAGGCCTGAGATCAAAGTGGCTGAGTCAGGCCTGAGATCAAAGTGGTTGACTTTTACAGCTTCGTAATAATCTCATTAGTGTCTTCAGGAGAGAGCATAACAATGGGAAGAATAACGAGAGCTGTACCTTATATGGATTAAGGAGGCTGCATGTTGCAGAAGTAATGGCTTGAGATAGTGTCGCATTATAGGCAGAATGTACCCAAAAGCCTCATTACAATTGTCAGGAGAATAAAAGATGCCCATGGTTTTGTGACTACAATCTCCTCCAGACCGCTCTGGTGGAGAATGCTATACATAAAATAATTGACTCTCAGCCTCTCACGACTACTGCCACCACTGATTTGCTCCTTGTAGCAGTCATGTTTGTTCTTAAAAATCCCAAGTTAGAGAACTTATTATGCAGAGGGATGACAAATGGATGAGCCTCCCCTAACTCCAGGGAGAACTGTAGGTGCTTCTCCCCCACTCCCTCTGCTGATGCTCAGCTGCGGTTTGCATGGCTGTGCCTTCTGCACATCCTGCTGTTCACAGCAGCCTGTTTAGCTGGTGCTGATGCCCATAAAACACTTTGATGTGAATGCAAACTCTCTGTCTGCTCTGGTGTTCAGATTTGGCTCTGAGAGCCTCCTAAGATGTAAAATCCAGTTCTCTTTCCTGCCTACTCCTCCCTTTGTCCCAGCCAACTTTTCAGAGCAAATACAGGGGGTGTTATGTGGGGAGAAATTATACTACAGATCATCATTAGATGCAGAGTTCAAGGTAGCTTTTACAATTTCATCCTGGGAAGAATATTTAAGTACAGAAGGGGTTTTTTTCCCAGGGAAGGATTCAGCTGTGTGTACTAACGATGTCTGGTGGGTGGGCAAGTTAAAGGAGCCTTCCTTCACTTGCCTTTGTGATGTGTAGCCTTTTCAAAGCAGGTGATAGTCACATATTTTACCATGCTGGGTGCACTCACTGTTCTCCCCCCACCCTCCCAGCTGGCTTATTTTAGGGCTTTCCTAGCTATTAAGCAGGGTTTGAATATATTATCATTTTCTGAACTGTGGAGATGATGGATTGAAAGTCAGTGGGGACCAGGACCCACTCCTTAAGGACACATAATAACTCCCACTGAAATCAGTGCTTGAATGTTTTGAAGATCTGAGTGTGCCTGTCATAGGCATGTTTTAATATGTACCGTAGAACTAATAAATGCAAATCAGTTAAGAGCTCATAAAAGTTTCTCTGTACTCCTTATGTTCCCAGCAGTGAGAGCAGCCCTGCCTTTCTGGCTAGTTTTGGTCCCACTGATTAGTTGATTTGTATTACGTGATACTTTCATGGAGAAAATCAGTATCCAGCTGTTTCTCTGGTAACAACATATGTATTTCCACTTAAATTTCTAAGACACATTACTCACCAAGAGCAAAATTAGAATGCCTTTGAGCTGAAGTTGGCCAGGGATTTCCCAGTCTCTCCTTCCTCTCTCAGAGAAGAGAATATATTGAAAAGATATTTTTCTTTTTTATAAAATAATTAAGGAAGCTCAATTATGTGAAGAGATTGCGTATTCTCTAGAGAAAGGCTGGGCAGTAATAAAAACTGCTAACATCTTAATACAGCTTCTCCCCAGAGTCTTTACAGTCTAAAAGATCAACTGTTGTAAGATTGAGTAAAATCTTAACAGGTAGATGAAACCATGTCCTGTGGGTTTGCAAGATATGCCTGTTTTTAATAGATGAGTCTGTTTTCCTCAATTTTGAGATCACTTCTTCAGAGCAACATTGGCACAGCAGTCACCTACAAGCATTATACAAGTGACAGTGGCATGGGAATCTTGTAATTCAGGGTGCAGATCGGAGCTGAAGGCTGATTGTTTCCATTCACAAAGTCCTCACACAACCATCTTTTAACAACTACCTTTTTGTAGTTGTTTTGATTTTGTAGCTTTTACCTTGTGCTTATATTGTAGGTTCGGGTAAACCATCATGCAAGGCCAGGCAGAACAGCCTACATCTAGTTTCTTATGTTAGAAAAAAGAAACCCCATGTGTATTTGCTTTGGGGCTCATTGTTTCAGTAGGAAGCACCTGTTGGTTGCTTCCTGCTCTCACCTGGTTTGCTGAACAGTTCTGAAATTCAGTATTCTCAGTGCATCTGCTTTAACGCTCACATTTAGGTTTGAATGTCGTGAGAAAGGTCTTAGATTTCCTGAAAGTTGGTGGGTTTTTTTTAAATTATTTTTCACTTAAAAGGAGAAGTGTTAACAGGACTGATAAATAAACTTTCAGATAAGGAAGCAACTTCTGCTGGCTGCACGGGGAGTGGGGAGTGCAGCTGGCACTCTGACCTGGTCTCTTTGGCACAGCTGCAGAGAAGCAAAGCCCTGAGGCGCCCTATGACCCAGACACCCATCCCGAGGACATCCTTTATTCCGGGTGCATCTCGTGACCAGTCATGTACAGAGCATGCAGAAGGAAAACTGCCTCTCCCAAGGAATGTTTTTTTGTTAGAGAAACAAGATGTGACCTCTGCTTTACACCCACCGCAGGCACTCGCCCTGGGCCAGAGGGTCACCAGCCACTGCACAGCTCAGCACGAGGTGGTGACTGACATATCTGGCTTGGAGAGACAGGAATGACTTCTGGGGGTGACTGCTGCCTTTGTCTTACAGCTTGGACTCTTTTCTTTATGGGCTCCATGCGCTATTTAAAGGAGACTTCCGGATAGCAGCCAAAGATGAGTGGGTCTTTGCAGACATGGATCTGTTGCATAAGGTTGTTGCCCCAGCAATCCGAATGTCTCTGAAGCTACACCAGGTAGGGTATTTATTTATGTATTTATTTTTAGCATTTACTATTGTGTCTGGTTTCTTAGGAAAGCACAGGATACCTTAGCAACTTTCCAAAGGAGGGAAAAAAGAAAAAAAGAGGGAAATGGAGTACTTGCCACCTTATTCTAAGAAACATCTTTCACCAAAATTGAAGAGTTTGGCATTTATTTATTTTGCATTCACTTGATTTTCTTTTCTGAAGCCCCGGCTGCCCATTTGAAACCACAGAGCCTGACCCTGCATTTTTCATTAAAAAAAAGCAGAAAATCTTGTCATATTTTACTTGTGTGGATACTATAAAGGTGCTTTCTAGATTGAAAGGGAATACATTGATTATGCTGATTTGACTGCTAATTTCAGGTCAGGCCCTGTATATCTTGGAACTTATTTTGTTCTTGCTCTGGCACATTATGATTTAGTATCATATACTTTTATCATGAATGATATTTATAATTGTTCTGGATGTTACTGAACTGCTGTGAATTCATATCTGATTCTTTGGCACAACAATTTTACGATGTTTTCGCTGGCCATGGTGCTGCTGGCTGAAGTTTCAGTATTGTGATTTGATAGTGGTAGTATTTGCTGATGGATTCCCAGTATGTGCTGTTGTTGGTGGGGTTTTGTGAATAAGAATTTCCACAAGAACTGTGGACTGCCCTAGGTGGTATCTCTCTCCAATTTACCCAAAAGCTCAGCCTTCCATAGTTTCACACTTCATTTAAAAAGAAAAAGAAAAGGATAAGCTGGTATTCTCCAAGTGTGTTTGTCCAGTGTAGTCATGAGATCAGAACAGGTTACAATAAAACTGAAATTGTACCTTTCTATATTACTGTTAAATGAACCTCCCAAAAGACACTCTTTATCAAGTGTCAAGTCACTTGGAGGGGGTCAGCTGGAAACTGTTTGGAAGTCAGTATTTTGTTTCCTGTCAGTATTTTTTTGTGTTTTCACAAATGTACCTGACCTCTTCAATACCAGGACCAGTTCACATGCCCAGATGAGTATGAGGACCCAGCAGTTTTGTACGAAGCGATCCAATCCTTTGAAGAAAAGGTTGTGATTTGCCATGAAGGGGACCCAGCCTGGCGCAGCGCAGTCCTGTCCAACCGGGAGGAGCTGCTGACTCTGAGACATGTGGTAGATGAAGGAGCAGATGAATATAAAGTTATCATGCTCCACAAAAGCTATCTGAGCTTCAAGGTGATCAAGGTAAACATGCCATCTTTCTAATATTGCAGTAATTTAGGGCTGTGGTAACTAGTACTGTTTCGGAGCAATGTGACTGAAAGGAGAAGTAGTTTTTAAGTAGGGACTGGAGGCCAAAAGAGCTCTCTTCAGTTGACTTCTATTTTGCTACCCACGTTTGTGTCTCTGAAATATCATTCCAGGCTTTAGCAGGGAGTAGCTGCAAAAGTTCACAAAAAGCTGTTGGTGCTAAGACATGATGTGTCTGCACACTCAGCCACTGCCGTTCTACTTAGATCCTATAGTTCTGCATCCTGAGTAGCAAATGTTTTTGCACTATCTGCATGTTTCTAACCCACCTGCAGGTCAACAAGGAGTGTGTCAGAGGGCTTTGGGCTGGCCAGCAGCAGGAACTGATTTTCTTGCGCAATCGTAACCCAGAGAGAGGAAGCATCCAGAACAATAAACAGGTGTTGCGGAACTTAATTAATTCTTCATGTGATCAGCCACTGGGATATCCAATGTATGTTTCCCCCTTAACCACCTCGTACCTTGGGACACACAGCCAACTGAGGAACATTTGGGGGGGACCTGTCAGTTTGGACAACATTAAAAAGTGGTTCAAATCCAAGTGGTTAAGGTAGGTGTTGAATTTTGGCTATGCTGATAAGAGACCCTGCTGTCTCAGTTTCACTGTATTTTCTGTTAAAAGAGAGTAATTATGTATTGTTATCTATGGGTAGAAAAACTAATTGCAAGTAACTCAGAATATAACAAAATAGTGCAGCAAATAGAACAGAAAGGAAATCCATTGCCTCATTCATGACAAAGCTTTCTACACGTTCAAGAAGAATCATTCAAATCACGCAGCACTACAGACACTTCTCTTATTCCATGGAATTTTACTGTTCATGCATCTAAATAAGGGTATTTTTTCTGTCACTCTGTAACTCTGAACATGAGTAAATGTGCTGGCGGATTTTGGTGACTTACGCTCTGAAGCTTTGGCAGTTAGATATTCATCCCCAAGTTACCGTTCTTGATCAAAACACACTTAAAAATGTACTTGCTATTCACCAAAACTGCCTAACTTCCCCTAGCTATGCATGATCGATACCTGACACTGCAGCTCCCATTCCTCCTTGCACTTTTCACACAGCAGTAACTCCCTTGCCTCATTCCCTGCCCTGTTGCCACTGTAGCTGAGGAGAGGCAGAGCACCATGGAGACACGATGGGAGCCAGCTCGCATACCAAGACTTGTGTTAAAATGCCAGTATTATATCTAATGGATTAACAGGCTGGTTTCCCACCATGCAGCCCATCCCTCTGAACTCTCTCCAGCCCATTTCTCTTCACTGCTACTTGGTTACCTCACACAGAAGTTTATCCTGGGAGACCACTGTAACATGAGATAAAGAGCCCTAAGGTATTTCAGGGTTCCAAAGCCACTAAACACAGACAAGGGTCATATACAATCGGCTTGTGTCATAAACAGTTTTGCTCCAAGTAACCTTATCACACCATCATCTTTGCCATCTCATAAAATGTCAGAAGACCTGCAGTGGTGTGAGAGAGAACACTCTTTGAGGGCACCTAACACTGGTGACACAAATTTTCATGTGCGACAAGTGGCTGACCCTGTGTGTTCCTGCAAACAGAATGCGAAAGGACTGCCACGCAGCAGCTCACCATGAGAGAGGCAATGTTGAAGAGGTGGACAGTGGAGGGGGGTCTTCATCCAGCAACAATTCCACAGGGAATTCAAGCCAGAGCAGTAGCTCACAGCCTACCAGGGATGGAACCCCTCAGCTGCAAACTTCATCTCAAGAGGTCCACCAGCGGGCAGGTATTTGCATGATTTACTTGCCTTTCTCTGGAGTCTTCTCCTGGGAGATCACATGGGCAGATGCTTTTGGGGAGTCCCCAAACTAATTTTAGAAAGAGTGCAGTTTGTCTCTCCTGATGACCAAGAACATGCAGGGGAAGGCTTTCTGATACTGTTTCAGGTGTTTACTGGGAGGCTGTAACACAAAAAGGATTCACCAAAGGTTCCACTGTCAAAGTCCATGATGGGTAATTTTTGGCCTAGCAGGTGCCACTAAGAATGCCAGAATGAGAAATGCAGATGGGAGGGAGTGTACACATGTGATGCAGGGAGCCTGGACCACAGTGAACCCCTGCTTATTGTTGAATGGGAACAGCAGAATGAAAGCATGCGAAAATCTTAATTATCTTGGAAGGACCATGACAATTTATTTGAGGAATTGGTTTGGCTGCTCATCAGCGCATGTGGAGAACAAACAAATGGAAAATAGCTTCTTACATTTATATAGCAGTTAGCAAGAGAAAATGAAACATTGCCAATCATTCTGTCAACTAACAGCTGAGCCCTTCTCAAATTATGGATTCTAAAGTGCTTCAGACATATTCACAAGGTAGAACTAGTAGCCTTTACGTTGGAAATGTATGATAAGTAATAAGGATAAGGATAAGCAACTGTTTAGACAGTCACATCCAGAGGGTAGCAGTCAGTGGCTCAGAGTCCTGATGGTGTCCCTTGAGGATCCATACTGGGATGGCTGTTATTAAATACCTTCATTAATGACAGACAAAGGGATTGAGTGCACCCTTCGCACAGATTACACTGGGCTGAGTGGTGCAGTTGACACACCTGAAGGATGGAATGCCATCCAGAAGGAGCTGCACAAGCTCATAAAGTGGGCCTATGGGAATTTCATGCAGTTTAACAAGTGCAAGGTGCTGCACCTGGGTCAGGGAATCCCCAGTATCAACACAGGCTGGGGATGAACAGATGGAGAGCAGCCCTGAGGAGAAGGACCTGGGGGATGAGGCTGGACATGACCCAGCCACGGGCACTCCCAGCCCAGAAACCAAACATGTCCTGGGCTGCATCCAAAGCAGTGTGGGCAGCAGGGCCAGGGAGGGGATTCTGCCCTTCTGATCTGCTCTGGTGAGACCTGAGCTGGAACCCTGCATCCAGATCAGGGGTACCAGCACAGGAAGGACATCAACTCATTGGAGCAGGTCCAGAGAAGGGATACTCTATTACATATATAGATTTATATATACATATATAGATTACATATGAGGAAAGGCAAAGAGAATTGGGTTTGTTCAACCTGGAGAAGAGAAGGCTTTGGTTTGCTGATTGCAACTTTTCAGTACGTGAAGGGAGTTCACAGGATGGAAAGTGACTTTTTACAAGAACATGGAGTGAACAAGGGGGAATGGCTTCAAACCGAAAGAGGGTCTAGGGGTTTAATTGGATATTAGGAAAGAATCTGTACTGTGAGGGCAGTGAGGCACTGGGACACATTGCCCAGAGAAGCTGTAGATGTCCCATTCCTGCAAGTATTCAAGGCTGGGTTGGATGGGGCTTTGAGCAACCTAATCTAGTAATAGGTGTCCGTGTCCAAACCAGGGACACTGAAACTAGACATGCCCTAGGGTCCCTTCCAACTCAAACCAACATTCTAAGTTTGCCAGTGGGTCACTGTGAGATCTATCACTGTGGAATCAGGACTTGTAAAGCAAACTAACTCTACATTTCAACAAGTTTGTGGTATTATTGTATAAATTAAAGCAGAGAACTTGAGGGGTTTGACACTTGTTTGTTTCCTCTTAGATCATTTTGACCTATCATTAAAGATAATGGGCAGGACTGGGATAAATCTTGCCCTGAATATAAATCACATTGTAAGAATAAAATAACTGAAGCTTTTAATTGTGTCTAGTGTTAGAGGAATCCTCATGTGCATACTCATAACTTGACACAACAGTAATCAGAGTAGCGAACTTAATTGTGATATAATGATCCTGAGCATACCATGCAATAAAGTAAGTTAATTGTGAGTTGTCTAAAAGAATATATTGATTTGGTGCCCAGAAAACCATAATCAAGAGAGAAAGTCACACTTAGATAAGAAAAACAACCTGGCTCTTGGCAAAATGAAGAGATGCACAAATGCAAGGAAACGGTAGCAAATGGAATCTGTATTCACTCCTGAGATACTGTAAAGAATGAAGGAGAATTTTTTGGCCATTAGGGGCAAAAAGATAAAAGTGGGCTTGTGGCTGTTTATTTTTAAAGAGTGCTTAGAATCAAAATAAATCCTAGCAGTGGTCTTGATCTATCACTATAGAAAGGCAGAGTTGCCAATATTCAATATGTAGAAATGAGAAAAGAAATGTCTGGTTTATACTGGGAAAAAACACAGATAATCTATTTCTGTGATCTGATCATGAAACATCCTGACAGCTACTGGAAAACATGAAAGAGCAGCTATCAAAGCTATATGTTTAATTGAGCAAAGCCAAATGACTCATTCAAGAAGGGTTTTAAGAGAGCTGGTTAAAAAAACAAGTTCTGCTCAATCTTCAAGAAGTATCAGGACATTAAGGCAATACCACAGCACTGGAAAAGAACTTAAGCTATGCCTGTTAAAAATTGTAATATTGTTGTCCTGCCACATACAGTCCTAGTGCCCTAATTGAAGGACATTTTTAGTTTGCAAGCACTTCAAAGAAGAGCCAAAAAAGGATCAGAACTCTGGGAAATACATCCCGTATTGAAATAGAAAGCACTTTCAAGCAATTGGTATTGTAAGAGATGCCTTGATCATAGTCTGTAAGTATTTACCAGAGCAATGATAGGTGACCAAAAGCCATTGGTGTGAGCAGACTTGGATGTAACAAAATCAAACAATTTCAGATTTGAAATCAAGAGCACATTTTTAATATTGAGAAAGTAAATAAATAGGGAAACAAGAGACTAAGAGTTAAGATCGATTCTCCATAACTGGAGATGCTGAATGCATTTTTAAAAATCACAGTAGCAATTAATAAAACCACACAGGAATTAATTCTGGTAAGTTCTATGGCCCATGCTGTATAGGACACCAGACTATAATCATAATAATCATAGCAATGCCTTCTGGATTCATAATCTATGCATCAAGTGCATTTAACTTCTTCATATTTCATATTGCGTTTTTCAGCCTGGTACCACTGAGTCTGCAAAATGCAATGAAAGCCCTGTATAAAAGTGCAATCAAGATCAGGAGCACTGGAAACATGTGGGGCTCTCCCCCAGAGTGTCCTTATTTCATGATGCAGTTTACAGAACAGCTTTTGTTTTTCTAAGTGTTTTCAGGGACGGAGTTTTTTTAGGCGTAGATGCGGGTGGTCTCCTGCCCAATGCTCCAACCACTGCATTTGGGATGAATATAGAATACTTTTGGACAGGGGTCAGCTTCCTAATTTAAATCACAGATGTTTGGCCACATTAGCCACAATGCAAACTAACACACCACAGCCCCTCTGTTCTTAATCCCAGTCCTTTATTTTTATTTAAGAAAGGTAACCTGTTGAAATAGCCATCAGATGTAGAAACCAAAGCACTTAAGCAGAACCCCAGGGTTTGAAGGACCTGAATCCCTGCGGAGGCCAGACGTACGCACAGCCATGGATAAGGCAGCCAGGCCTGGCGCTCATCACAGCACGTGAAGGACAGAGGACACTGGCAGAGGAGTACACAGGGGCCATGGAGTCACAGAATATCCTGAGCTGGAGGGGACCTACAGGGACCATCAAAGTCCAACTCCTGGCTCTGCAAGGACCACCCCAAGAATCACATCCTGTGCCTGAGAGCGTTGTCTGGGAGCTTCCAAGAGCCATGTGTGTCTGTCCCATCATTCTCCAGCAGAGATCTTGGGGCTCCTATTACTTAGGAAAATTATTTTTTTATTGTTTGGAGTACAAAAGTAGAGCTAAAGATACATTGTAAATGAGGTGTGAAAGTGTCCAGTGCTTGCCAAACCAACTAGGTTTCAGTGAATTCCAGTTAGGTTGTAGCCCAGCTCTGCTCATCTGACTCTGTGCCAAGTTACCTAAATTCTCTTTGCTTCAGCATTTGAAAAATGGGGATAATGATACCAGCCTCTGAAAAGCAGGTCTGGGGATGTAAAACAGCATGTTTCAGCTATATAATGTAAATGGCTTGGACATGAAATTGTGCACTGCTGGAACCTGAATGAATTCAAGAGTCATGTTTTTAGAAGATAGTGTGAGATTTATATTCCTTTATGCCAGCAAAATTTCAGTATTTAGAGGAGCTCGGGTATTGGGGAAAACCAAAGCAAAAAAAGAAAAAAAAATACCAACAGCCTGGAAATGCCTGCCAGAAAAACTTGTTTCTGTGTTGATGGGTCTCAACAGATTTCCTGGCATCAACTCCCCACCCTACAGCTATAGCTAGGAAACCAAAATGCCAGCTTAATGTTAATGTTTGGAGTTTCCTGAAGAGCAAAAAAACCAAGCAGGCACTCTTATGACTGGGTATTTGCTGTGTAAGCCTGGGTTAGAGCCTGTCTACAGAAACAGTGAGCTCTGCTGGGGCCTGTAGCACACACCAACCCACGGAAGAATGCCTGGGTACAAGCAGGCCTCTGATGGGTTCACTGGCCAGTATTTTTTGATTTATTTTTCATACTATGGCTATTTAAATGCACATGCATAAGAAATACAGAAAATTTTTGCTTGACTGACAGAAGGTGTTGATATAAATATGAAATATGGGGATCTGTTTGTGCAGGAAGGATTTGTCTAGGCATGTCAGAATAGCTTATCTAATCTAGTTTCTGTATCCAGTAGTGCCTGCATTGAGATGCTTCTCAGAAAGGGACAAGAGCCTTGTGTGAGTCTCATTCAGACCTCCAACAGCATATCCTACCTAAAAGCATTCACATCTTTTCAAGTCTGTGATGTACTGTGAATGTCTCTCTTGGAACTCAGTTTACTGTCAGTCTTAAAAACTGTTTTGTGGCTGTATTCGTCCACTTCAGAACACTGTATTCTTCCACTTGGCTGAATTTTCAAATTCTCTCTCCTAATACGCAGGAATAATTCTTTTAAACGTGCCATTGTTTTAACTTATATGTTTTTGGTTTTATTGTTGCATTTAACTATACCAAGCCATTTAAGGTGGATTCCATTAGTGTGGATGTCAAAGAGAAGCAGAGTTACAGCAACACTATGCTCAGTCGTTCACTGGGCTGATTAAACTGTATGTAGCAGAACAGCTTTGAGCCTGTGATTAGACTGCTTTGCTTGGGGTCTCATTTCCCTGTCTTTTGACTCAGTGCACAACCTCTAGAGCTATTTTGACCAAAACTCAGAACACCTGTAGTAGAAAACACAGAAAGAAACCTAGGCTTAGTAGTTCATTACTTTTGCTATTCTTGGAGTTCTTATGCTAATAAAACCAGTGGTAATATGCCAACAGTAATATGTACACATGGGACATTGTCCATAGCATGGAGTTCATCAGAATGCCACTTACCTAAATATATTAATCTTTCTTTTGAAGGCAGGAGAAAACCCAGGAGTCAGTCTGTCCAGGCACACACTGCTTTAAACCAAAGGCCCCCTGCTTCAAGTCACTCTGGACCAATTGTAGAAAGCCGCCAGCCTTTCATCCAAACATCTACATCTGCCCACGAAATTGCCCAAAGGCTTTCTAGTAGTCAGCTATCATTCCACAACTCGGCAACATCTGTGTTTTCTCAGTCCCCTGCTGTTCCTGTTGCTGGCCAGCTGACTGTGCAGGACCGAGCTGCAGCAATGCTCAGGTCCAGCCTGGCCTCCTCCACCAGCTCAACTCTCAGCCTGTTGTTCGGCAAGAGAAGTTTTTCAAGTGCTTTGGTGATTTCTGGGCTCTCGGCTGCCGACGGAGGCAACACGAGTGACACGCAGTCATCCAGTAGCATGAACATCGCCATGGGGCCATCTGCCAGAGCAGCAAGCCAGGCAGCTCGGGTAAGGCTGGAGCTAAAACAGCAGTACTCAGAGTGTCAGGCCCATTCTGCTTGCCTGTCTACTTCTTAACTGTCCTCACCACCACTGGGTGATTTCCTTCTCAGTGGTCAGAAATTTTTTTCCAAAACAGTATTGGGATTTTGCTATTTTTTTTTTTTGTTTTGCTGCATCACAATGAGGTTGTTTAGTATTAGTGTGTTTGTGAGAGTGTTTGTGAGTAACTGATGGGGGAGCTGTTATGCACACACCTGAAATTGCAAACTGGGGCAAAGTCGCTTTTCCTTTTCTTTCAAAACAGGGACTTAAGTCTCCATTTTCTGCAGCCCAAGTGATGAGTATCTTCATAGCAAACTAAATAGCTCTTTCTTTGCTTGCTTTAAGTTCTATGCAGGACTTAGAATTATTCTATCTGTAGGAAAAGGAACAGTTTCCCCTGAATAGTGCACTTATTCTGTCCCTCTCTCTGACCAGAATGAAATTCAATCTAGGACCTGAAATCTTGTTGCTGAAAGTTAGTCAAAGGAATCCTGTACTAAAGGAAACCAGCATGCCCTGTGATTAAACATTTTCTAACAGCAAAACACTACAATCAAAAAATTTTCAGCCTTCTTCCCAATATAGTCACAGTTTTATTCCTAGCTTCCCTGAAAAATTCAATTCACATTGTAGAGTTACTATTTTATTGTTTACTTAAGTATATTTATTTAACTTTGGTTGCCATCCATTGCTGTCCTGAATTTTGAAAATTTACCTCAGCACCAGAAAGGTGAAACATGTAAAGATGGACTAGAAATAAAAGGTGATTGTAGTTAAACAACATAATTAGACAAATTTTGCATTTGGCCTATCAAAATGGAAACGAATGTGGTGACAGTGAAAGACCGTGGATAGAAGTCCCAAGTACTTTTCTGTTACTGTCCTTCTGAACTGTGTATAACTTCCCTAGTTTCCAAAGAGTTCTCCAAACCTTATGTTAGAAGAGCTCCTTGGCCTGTGCATATTTTGCTCTCAACTCAAAAATACCATGTGTGGTACAGTTCCCTAGTTTCACCATGAACTTCAACAGGAGTCAACCGAATGTTACTCATCTAGGTCCAATGCTGCTTTGTTACTGTAAGAAGTATTAATATTACTACACATACAGCTGAATGTATCCAATGAGAAGGCACAATTCCAACTCCCAGGAGTTCATGGCCTAATTCGCAAGAACTCAGCCAGTCTGTGATACGGAGTACTAATGGTAGAATTCACCTTGTCCAACTTTTAGGTAGCTACCTAAATTTGGGCATGAGATCTCAGTAGGTTGTTGTTGAGGCTTCTGTTTTCAGTGAAGAGGCCTTCAACCACTTCATCATTGGAGCTATCAGGAGGAAATTCTCCCCTGAGAGACTTGTATCTCTCTGCCAACCATTGGTAGCCTAAATGACACAGCAAGACCACATGGTGACGTTTAGATGAGGCGAATCCTGGCCAAAGTGACTGCTCGGAGTCCAGGTGCCCGTTTGATTGAAAGTGGTAAAGAGCAAGCGTTTCATTTCAATGTTCACACAGCAAAGTTCTGGAATGCTTTTATCCTAATGGACTCCTTACAGTGGGGCGGCACTGCGCTTAACGTTTTCAGACTGATAATTGCATTCCAGTTTTGATGAAAAGGTCTCTTTGTAAGTTGGATTTAAAATGTGGTGTATAAAGCAAGCTCCAGAGCAACCTGATTTAACAACTTAGAAGTCAGCCCTGCTTGAAGCAGCAGTTTGGACTGGATGACCTCCAGAAGTCCTTTTCAATCCAAATTCTTTTACAGTTCTCTATACATGTACATCTGTGGTACTAAACCTCCAGTTCCTGGTCTGCTTTTCCTTCCAAATTTATGCGTTACACAAAGTGTGACAAGTACCTCTTCAGAACTCCCTTGTGAATAATGCATGTTTAAGAATCCCATGGAGTTTCACAGAATGACATCCCTACGTCAATTTTTAAACTTTTTTCACCTGTCACTTCAAAAAATAGCTGAAGTGTTACTTAGAAGTTTCCTAAACTAGTTGACTTTTTCTTTCTTACTTTCCAGCAAGCCGCTGAGACCTGTGAAGCAACAGATGCTACGGAACCAAGACCCCAGCGGGAGGCGGGTCCAGCCCATGCACTATTCATGAGTCGGAACCTGGAGTGCAGAAGGGCCAGCCAAGAAGATATGGCCCTGGAAGACACCGCTTCTCAGCAGAGCCTGTCTGAGGAGCAGTGAGGAGCATTCCTAGCACAAGGGCCACGCGCTTCTTAGCATTAAATACAGACAGAGTTAGGTCAGGAAGCCGCACATGGGTTTAGGTTCTCTCAAATGTAATAAGCAACCTTCAAATGTTTATTTTTCTAATTTCTACACAAGAATATTACAGGGCGGATGTTCTTCAGCTAATGGCCTTGGCATGGTTTGGGTTGGAAGATATCCTAAAAAACACACAGTGCCACTTCATCTCAGGTTCTTGTAAATCCTAGAACAATGAATACAACCTGTTTAACGTTCCGTCCCCTGGAATGGTTAGAATCACAAACAAATACAGTAGGAAATGTTAATACAACTCAGTGAAAAGCACACGAAAGACATCTCTTTCCTGCCATAACTAAAGAGTTGATTGCATGCAAACTAATTGAAATTTGGTATATAACATATAGCAAAAGGCAACGAAGAACAGAAGCAATGAATACATAAAAGGACAGTACAGTGTCCTGTAACATTAGAGCTAAATCTGATTATTTTTTCCAACAGCAAATCTCTTTTTTTTTTTGACGTGTTATGCAGGTGCTAATGCTGAATAGCAACACAGCATCTCAGACTGATATACTGCATGCAGCCATACTGAAATACTGTGTGAACGAGCCACGCTACACCAATTAACAAAAGCCAAGTGTAAGAAAAGAAAGTATCCAGTGCATGGGAAGTCTTCAAAGCATATGGTGCACCTTATTTGCAAAGCAGCTTTGCATAAATTAGGTATTATCTCGTGCTCCTGTTTGGTTTACAGCAGTGCTTCTCAAATTCTAAGCAAGAGTACCCTTAGGAGTCGCAAAAGGGCCATGGGGAATCCTCCTCAAGGACAGAGAAGTGCAAAGCAGGCTGTAATTACTGTCTGGAAGTGTTTGTGTTAGGAAGGGAACAGCTAAATACCTTTAATTGCTGGACACAGCTCACTGTCCATAAACACTTTTAGCCAGTAATTACAAAGCATTCTGATTTCCCTCCCCCAGAGAAAACTGAGCTGCTGCCAATAAAGACAGATGATACAAAAAGGGAGGCCATGCCTTCACAAGGTTTGAGAAACGCTGATTTACAGGAATGCATGACTACTTTGAAACCCAAAAGGCTACAGCAAATCCTTCCTCTACTATAGAGTCTAAACAAACACGCGTGTGTTTTTTTTTCAATTAAAAAAATTGCAGCTATCAGTGTCTTGCTGTTCCTCTTTACTGTAACTACCATAGATTGTTTCTAAATCTCAATACAATGATGTGCAGCCAGGCTGTCTTGTCCCAATTAACAAGATTTAACAAAAGATGCTGTAGCTAAGTCTCATTACCGTTAGGCAATACTCAGTTGCATTCTGAGCTTCCTACTGTGCCACACTTCAGATCTGAATAGTAGAACTAAGTACAACTGAGTGAAAATAAAATGATCCAAGTATGTTTTGTGGGTCTTCTATTTGCAATTGTTTTCACTTGCTTTCTGTCTTATAAAATTAAGAAACCTATTCGTTTTTAGTCCACTTCAGATCTTGATGATTTGATTATCAATAAAGCTTAGCATAACTGACTGCTCATGTTCACAAAGACAAAAGCAGAGTATTCATGTACAGCCCTCTAGACAGATGATCATCAGTGCAGTTCAGGCCCTCCTAATGTCTCCTCTAGCATCCAGGTGAGATGTGGAAGAGGAAATTGAATTCAGCTGCTCCCTTCTGACCAGTTCTGGCAGATGATGACTCTTGTCCCACCACACTGTTCATGGTTCACATGTTCACTGTTCAAGTGCTTCATTATGAAGCACTTCAAAGCATCCTTCAAATGAAGGATGGAGGTTATACAGTTAAGACTCCAACTAACAGCCACCAGCCCCTTTTCTGCTTTGGGGGCTTTTGCATGACAGTCCACAGGGTAAACCATAACTGCTTTGTCTTCCTGCATGGAGGCAGGGCATACAGGTGGCTCGGGAAAGCACCAAGAATTTTCCTGTATTCACCTAGCATCAATTAGGCCTCCAATTTTCACATCTTTAAGTTTGAATCAATTTCCATCGAAAATAAGTAATTCTAGTAGTCCAAATCAACCTAAATTATTCTGTGTATCCAATTCAAGCATACTAAACCAGACTGGGGAATGACTGCACAAATTCCTTCAGCAGCAAGCTGTATTTGCTTAGCACAGATTGAGGCCCTAGTGACAGCACCTTCCCCCAGCACCACATCTTCTGCAAGACTTCACCATCTCCATGGTCTCTGGTTCTGCATCCTAAAGTAATGCAGTCACCTTACAGTTCCTGACTTAGTCCAAGGCACTTTCCCCTGGAGCATAACTCCTCGGGGACAGCAGTTGTGCCATGAAGTCCAGACTCCTGCTGCACAGGGTGGCTGCTGGAAAGGGCAGGTTCTAACGCCTTTGTGGAGTCACAGCAAGCAAGCACAGCAAAACAGGAATCAAGGTAAGATCCAAAAATCGGTTCTTTTTTTGTAGCCATGTCTTACCCAGTTTTTATTTTACCTTGAAGTTGCTATTGTAGCATAGTGGGCTGAAAAAACCCAAGAGTGACCACAAACAAGCGTAACACAGGAAAAAAAAATAATAAAAATGACCACAAACTCTCCCATGTTACATTCCTCCGTAATTTTGGAGATAGTCTGATGTTATAGCAATAAGACTACTGCTATATGCAGCAGTTTTAAATATGAGCCAATCCTACAGAATAATCTGACATAATGGTTAGAAATGAAACCTGCAACTAGGCATGAGGTTGTATCAATTAAACACATCTTAGCCTTCCCCCATTTCTGCGTAAGGTAGAGATACACCCAGTTAACTCTGCTTCTGAAGGTGCATTTAGGTCTCCGATGCACACCAAGCTAATAAATAGGAAACTAATCTTTACACAAGGCCTAATTTGAACAGTAAGTTGCTGCAAAAAGCTCTGCATAACACCAAAAGGCACATGAGCCCTCCACACCAGTGCCTGCATGCACATGAAGGCTTTGAGTCATACCTTTAATTCCTGAAAAACAGCTTGATATTTAACCTCACACAGGTGCCTCAGTTGCAAGATGGAAGTATGCCGCTTTTGGGGCAGGTTTTGGCCTTTAAATTAAAGGCAAATGTGATTTTCATTGCTTTTATGTCATCTGTGACCCTGTTGATGGGTTTCACAATGCTGAACACTGTCAAAACTTGGCCCTAAAGTTGCTCAGGCTTAACAGTTTGCCTGCATGTCTGATCTCTTGCTACAGTTGTGATGCAGGAAGGATGGCACCACCACCATGTAAGGACCTTTTATCAAGAGTTCCATCAGGGTTTTTTGCATCAGGTGCTATGCTTGATTTCTCAGCTTATGCTAAGCTGCGAAGGCCACTTACTTATTCAGCCAGTCCAGAATGTTTTTGTCTTTACAACATGAAAATAGTGACGTTCCCATCTTGTTAGCAAGCTGAATGCATCCTTTGAGGAAATCAAGTTCTCAATCTACAAGATCATTTGTACATGCAGTTCTTTCATAGAAAAGTCAGAAGGGATGAAGAGATAGAGGCCCTCTCTGCCTCCCCCTAGCTTAACCTCAGATAACATCACCACTGCTGAAAAGAAACACTAGGAGTGATTTTATCCACACTGTCGCAGCAACCAGAGAGGAATACGAACACAACAGGTTACAGGAGAGAGGATAATATAGTAAACACAAACACAGTACTTCAGCCTTTGCACTGAGCATGGAATACTTACCCCCCTCACATTTTGTTTTCCTAAAGTTTCCTTTCCCAAATAGGCTCTTGTTTACATCATACAGTAAAAGCCAGTTGCTACACTTGTAATGATGAACCACGGCCTGGAGATCTGGCAAAAAGAGTTTCAGTAACTTTTTACTAAAGCCAAGCACAGGCTGCTGAACTGCTCACATCCACCAGGAACACTGGCAAGCCCCAGCCTGGCCTTCAGCCCAGCTGTTTCCCACCACAGCAAACAAGTAGGAACCAGTGATGGACATAGTCTGCAAAGTTCATTCCTGTTCATCCAAAAATAAAAACCAGAGGTGCTGGCTGTTCCCTCCATTTTGTAGTGTCATGCAACTTCTCTGTGAAAAACTGAAGTTCTTGTTGCAAAGTCTCACCTCATTCCCACAAGCAGAAAACCTTGGCACTCACTTCACTGAAGACAAATCTCAATGAAAAGAACTTACCCATGTTAATCTTTTTCCCTTGACATGATGACCAGATAGTCTCAATATCTATGAATGATGTTCTGATACTATTAAGTTCTTAGGACTCTATGATGTTATTCACAGCTTTTTATAAAAACTATTTATTAGAATAAGGCAAGAAAAGTCATCTGCATTTGTCTCCAGCCCACCAACTGATGTCTTTTCTCTTACTAGGAAATTTAAGTTAAAGATTAACTGAATTTTGTGCAGCTCATTATAGAAGATTAGAATTACCAGTGAGATTCTCCAGCATGTAATAATCATCTTCTCTTCAACGCATTTTTTTAAAACACCCAATTATTGCCATATTCAGATTAGTCCCTGGATTAGGAGCTGGTACATCCTTAAATCTGCAACACAGACATATTACTTGTAATTAACTTTGCAGCAGGTCCAGTATGAAAGATTCACCTCTCTCACTCAGTTTTAAGAGTCAAAAATTGCTTAATGCATAATAAATAATGCAGGCCCTGTTTATTCCATGCTGTGTGCAATTTTACGCTGGAATTACAAGACTTGTTGCCAAAAATGTCCTTGATTCTCAGGATTTGAGACAGTAATTGGTACCTCACATTCTCCCTTTTTGTACCAATTAAAACCTGCAGGTGCACTAATGTTGTCATCTGGAATCTAGCTGGTACATCGGAGGTGCTTTCCACCAAATGCATTCTATTAATAAAACTGGCCCACCAGGGGAATTGTGAACGCTCCATTTGCTGTTAGAGTGCTCTCAAGGCCTTGCAAGTATTTCACTAGTGCAAGACCAGACAATAAATTTTTACCTTTAAAGTAAA